GTTCACTGGACTAAAATGAAGACATCCACAAGGTGATGGTGCTTCTGGGGCCTGCGGGGAAGTCTGTGCATTTGCATTTCCTGGCTTCCAGAAGTCATGCACAGTTCTTGGCTCATGGCCGTTTCTTCATTTCTAAGCCCGCCAACTTGGGAGAGGCCTACCAAGCCCATGTCCCTCTGGTTTCTCCTGGAGCACGACCACGGGCCCTTGGGGAGTCCCTGGCACATGCCTTCTCTGGGGCAGAGCAGCCAGCAGTCTGCTCCCCGTGACCGCCTTACGCCCCTGGCCACAAACCCAACACACCCGGCGCCCAGGAGGACGGCTGGCTACCGGCCGCTGCCGCCTGCACCGTGGCTGGGCGCGCCTCAGCGCCAGGCTCCGCTCAGGCCGAGGGCGGCAGCAGCGAGCGCCTGTACAAGCAGGCTTCCTGCTGCTGCTCGCAGTGTTTGTAGGTTACCCCTGATTAAATAGCTGAAATGATCATTGTTTAGATTTCTTATTGAGTCAAAGCAAATGATACATTAGAAGCATTTTCTAAGAGTCAATTAGTGGAGGTTTGAACATTCCTTTGAGGATGGAAAGCATTAGGCAGATGCAAATTATTAGTCTTGCATCTTACAGCCCTCGTTACTGCAGGCATTTTGCAGCATACTGTAATCACATCTGCAGCGCAGCCTCGATGATCTTAAATACCCCGATGGCCTCGTTAAATACGCCGCTTTTTGAGCATCTCACTGTAGATACTCCACTTCCTTTATTTCATGCACCTCCAAGGACCCTGAGAGCAGCAGAACTTTCCAGATTTCTCTGACGATCAGTTGGGAGCTCTCTAGTCCACGCTGTGCAGACCACGTTCTGGGGTGACTGAGGAGCAGGCAACAAGCCATCTTTCACGTTGCCAGCTTGTCCTCTGCAGGTGAAGTCCCGCGGCCGCGGACACTTTACTGATCACGAGAAGGAACCGCCGACGGGGTGCACACGTGTCAGCGTGAGCACGAAGCGGGTCACGCCCGGGCTGGGGAGGGGCGCTGCCCTGGATGCTGGCCCACGGGCCTCCACGATGGGCTGGAATGTCTGGGCCACGCCCGCTGAGAGGGAGCTCCTGAGAATGCATGAGAGGCCTGTGCGTGCGCCGAGCAGAGCATCTGACCCCCCAGGCGCTAAGCCGAGCCTCAGCTTTCCTTCCAGAGGGGAAATGCCTTTAGGGATGGCACACATGGCGACCGGCAGCGGCACCCGTCCCACGGGGAGGCCCCCTCAGAAGCACCCAGGCGACCCTCTCAGCTGGGCCTCCCACGACTCCCGGCCTGTCCCGTGACGACGCAGACCGCGTGCCCAGAGCCGGCCCTGAGCTGGGGCTTTCAGCGCTGCTTTGTCCCCACTGTTTGCAGAGTCACCTTCCACGGCAGGCAAGGGGCGAGGACGTGTCGTTCGTGGTTGCGAGACAAAATGGTGCTTGAAAGCAAACACCCGCACACGTCCCGGGAGCCTGCGCCTAGGGGCCTACCTGAGCACACGCGCTGAGTGAGGGTCACGCACGGCAGTGGCGGCAGCCCCGTGTACAGCAGCCAGCTGCGGCGACGCCCAGGAGGCCAGGACAGGAGTGCACTGCACGGGGGACTGTCTGGCTGTGAAAGGTGGGCTCGTGCCCGCCGGCGCCGGAGGGCTGTGCTGGGGGAGCAAGGGGGAGAGAGGCACTGCGGGGGGTTCAGTGTGTGTGGAATATACAGAACCACAGCAAAGGAAGAGACAGCACTATGGGGAGGCAACCCCGGGAATCTGACTTTTGAATGGAGGCCAGCAGAGGGGATTTGCAGGGTGGGGTACAAAGGGGGGCCCACAGACCATGGTGGGGACTGTGGGCACCGTCCACCAGAAGACGGGCAACCCTGCCCCCCAACACCTGCACAGCCCATAAGAGAATGAAGCCCTGAGAAGAGAGAATACACGAAAGTTTAAGAAAGCGAAAGAGAAAAGTGTTCAGGACGGGAGCACGGGTTGCACGGCCCGCGGCCGCGCCTGGCTTGTGAGAAGCACTGCGGGCCCTGGGGGCCCGGGGGCCATCTGAGCTGTGCCCTCCCGCCCTCCCGGCTCGCCGGCTCGCACGGCCCACTGCTCAGGCCTGCAGGCAGGGGGCCGGAGTCCTCTGGGGCTGGATGAGAGTGAAGCCAGAAAGCCGCCGCCGTTCAGCTCGCGCCTCCCTGGTCTTTCTCTTTCTGACTGATTTCCCTTGACGCCCCCGGCTCCGGCGCCAACGTGCCGGCTCGCGGGGCGAGAGTGCGGCTCGCCTACCCAGGCGGGCTCCACTGGCCACGTGCCCGTCCTCTCTGCCCACTCGGGAGGGATGGAGCCTCCTCCTCGCGTGTCCCTGAGCCTGCCCCAGGGGAGGAGCAGCAACTGCGGGAGGCGGAGGGCAGGGAGGAGAGAAGGAAGGAAGGAAGGAAGCGGGGTCCGCTCTGCTGAGGACCGCAGGCCACAGCGGACGCTTCTTGGCCAGCACCCTCCACCCCAGCGCCTACAGACAGCGCGGCTGGCTCTGGGCCGCTCTCCTTTAGGGGCGACTCATGGAACTACCATGAGGCGGCCTCGCTTCCCGGGCGGCGCGCCGAGCGGCCCGAAGGCGCCGGGACCCCCAGAGCTAACACACGCCTACTCGCGGGCGCGGCCTCCGAGCCGCGTGTTCAGGTGTTCACGCGCCAGCGGAGAGGGCAGGGGCCGGCAAAGTCCCTTCCAGGGGAGCTGGGGCCGGCCACTGCCTCACCCTGCTCTCACCCTCGCCCGCGGCGCGGCCCTCCCTGGCTTCCACGGCCGCCATCACATTCCCCCGGCTGGACCCGCGGCCCTTGTCCCCAAGAGCTCTGTCGTACGTCTCCATGGCGCGCTCCGGCGTCCCCGAGAGTCCACCACGGCACGAGGAACCGAGCAGAACGTGAGGAGGCGGCCGGCCGTTGGCCGTGCCCCCGAGACGCGCGCACACGAGTGTCCGCTCGCTCCAGCTAAGGAATGGCTCCAGGGCCAAGTGGCAAGGGCCCCCTCTTGCAGACCTCCGCAGAAGCACCTGATCGGAACCTTGGCAGCCGGTCCGGAGAAAGCAGCCTTCATCGCCTGGGAGGTGACCGCCGGAGTGAAGAGGCTTCAAGTCTCCGCGTCCCCGGCAAGCTATGACGAGCACGGGGGAGGCACAGGACAGGATTTCTGCTTTAAGCTAGTCAGTTACTTCACTCTCTTCACCAGCGACATCAAGGAATATTAATGAAAAAGAACAAACCGTGGGGTGACGAACAATCTTTGCTTCAATCAACAAACAGTCCCTTATTGAAGGTACCAGTTAAAATAAAATTTAAAAATCACTGGCTGTGGCGGAGGCGGGGAAGAGTTTCTCTCGTGGACACGGGGGGCCGTCACCCATCCCCGGGAGACTGTCCCCGGGTCTTGCTCACATTGTTCAAGTGACGGGGACGCCTGTTCTCCTGCTGGAAGTGTGCGTTGTCGCCGCATGGCTGGGGGGGGGGCGGGGCAGTGGCTGCTGGTGATGGTTGCTGCTTATGGGTGGTCCCAGGGCTCGGGTTTCTCCGGATGACGATGCGGTTGCACTGCATCACCCAGGCGGAGGAGGGGAAGCCAGCAGGGCACAGCTCCCCGCTGAGGAAGGGTCAGGGCCTGTGTTATCAAGAGGCCACGCGCGCGGTCAGGAAAGCGTCACTGCCTGGAGCAGCTGACAAAGAGCGCGTGGGAAGGCAGGCCAGGCAGCCCCCGTGGCCCCAAGGCCCAAAGCAGTGGAGGATCCCGTAAATAATGGCTGCACCGGTCACCCCAGGGGTGAAGCAAACTGGGGCCCATTCTAAGGAACCAAATTGTTGAACTAAACTCCAAGAGCACTCCCGGCTCAGAAGGTAGGTGCCTCACCGAGAGAGGCTCAGGGTGCTGCCCCCAGCCCAGTGCCTATGCGGAAAGGGGGGGTGGGGGGAGGGGGTGGGGGGCGTGGGGCTGGGCCAGGATTCCAGTGTGAGCACAGCCAGATGGCTCCAGCCCTAGCTGCATTTCCATCATCACAAAGGCACCTCCCCTTTCAAGCATTTTTTTAAAATTTACATATTAAAACATGCTAGCGGGAGAAGGCGCTAAAACCAAAAGACCCTACCTACAGTTTGCCACAGGTGTGAGATGGTCTGGGCTGCAGTGCACTCGGGTGGCCTTGGGGCTTCCGCCCTGAATATAAATATCAGCGGTCACCTTGACTGCAAGTGAGGGCTTCTGAGACGGGGTTTTGGTATTTACAAGGTAGAACTTATTGCAGTTGGAAAGGTACATAAGGATGCGTCAAACATTTTGCATTGTGTGCAACACTGAAAAAAGTCAGCAATCCCCTCGCCAGACATTACGGGAACATCAGTAAGAGTTGTTTGGAACACACACCTTGTGTGGCCCGAGTGGCTCGCCAATGCATTTGGAACACCAGGAAACGCAGAACACAGCTGCCTCAGGGCCCCTTAGATCTGTGAGTCCCCTCTGTGTCTTCGACCTAAAGGTCTGCTTCTCCTTCCAAGTCAGCCGCACTGGCCAGGCGGGAGATCAGACCCAAGCCCCTGGACAGCGAGCCCTTCCCCCAGACCCCCCAGTTCCCCCGCTTCTGCAGGGCCGGTGGGCGCAGGGACCAGGAGCTGGAGGCTGCACAGCCATCCCCATGCCTGCAGGGACCAGGGCGCCAGCAGCGCGCCTGCAAAGTTGTAGCAGATGTGGCGGAGCCCAGCCACGCACCCCAGACGCGCCTTGGGGTGCCCCGAGGTTACCTGGAACCGCTCCCACCTCCACCAACCCAGAGCTGCAGCCGCCCCTCCCTCCCCGCCCCTGGTGAGCCACCGCCAGCCCCCCAACAGTTCCGGGCGCCATCTCCCAGAGATCCACCCCCAACCTGGGGTTTCCCCAGTGCTCCAGGCACAACAACCCTCAGCGACCCCTCACTTGGGGCCGCCCCTCCACCCCGGGCTACCACCCCTTACCTGAGACCCTGGGGCTGCAGACGGTGCGCCCCTGGCCCGGCGCGGAGGGCAACATCCCCGCAGCGAAGGCAGCGTCTGCGCCGGGCAGCGGGGCGCGGGGCGGCGGGGCGCGGGGCGCGCACTCTCTGCGCCGGGGCAGCGGAAGCGCAGGCTGGGCCGGCAGCGGGGTGTGCTGCAGGAGGAAGTGAAACCCTCCGCTCACCTCCCCCTTGCACCACCGCCCCGGGGACCCGGCCAGGCGGGTCCGGCCTGCAGGGCGCGGCGGGTCCTCTCTGGGTCGCCGCGGGGAGGAAGGGGCGCTTCACTGATCAGGAGGGACACAGGTGGCGATGAGACGCGTCATGGTGGGGTTTTTTGCTACTTCGACTCTCCAGGCTTTCTAGGCGGAATTCCTGGAGTGTGCTGTGAGTTTGCCCCCCGTGAAACGCGCACGCTCCTGCTCGGGCTCTGGCCTGGGCCAGCAGAAATCAGATGAAGAGCTGAGCTCCTCCACACGGTCTTCTTTCTCCGAGTTTCCCCGGAGCTTTCGAAGCAATTCCCCTTCTCTCAAAGGCCAGGGAATCAGTCGTTTAGCTTTTGATGCTGAAACGGCAGTTGGAAGCCAGGGTGGTGACTTGGGCTTCCACCCCACCCTCCGCTCAGGGGGCAGCCTAGAGGGCAGGGAGTGGCCCCAGCCCCCCCCCCCCCAGTCTTGCCGGGGGCTGGAGCTGCAGGCAGCAGCAGGGCCTGCTCAGTGCTGCTGCAGCCTTTCACCCGGACTTCGAGGAGAAAGACAGACACAGCCCCTGCAGCTTGCATTCCTCCATGCGGCGCCTTAATCTTTAACATCTCCCCGTTTCGCTCCAGGGACACAGGCCAGCCCCGGAGCCGCAGACGGCTGTCACGCGCAGGGCGCCCATCTGCTCCCAGCCTCGGCCCCCCACCTGGCCAGCCGCGCCGCACACCCCGAGGTGGACCTGGAATAAGGTCCAAGTCTCTGTCAGGTCCCACGAAACTGTCTCCCGCGGCGCACAGGACACCGGGTCGGCGGCGTGCGGGACGCGCCTGGGGGCGCAGAGGCCCACGTCCACCCGTCGTCCGTGCTCCTGGGGAAAACTGAAGAAATCTTTAGGAGGACGGGCTTTTCTAGACCGCTCTAGTTGAAAGATTTTGTGTTAGAAGGCCTTTACAAAGTTTTCCCCTAAAGGGCAAAGATTATTCTTCGTGGGGGGCAGAAGCAGCGGCAGGGTGACAGCCCATGCCCCGTCGGCCTCCCTGGGGCGCCCCTGGCCCCACGGTCTGGCTCGGGGATTCTGGGCCGGCGTCTGGCCCGTGCCCACGCCGCTGGCTTCTCACAACAGTGCGCTCAGCAATGTTTGTGGCGTAGGGTCTGACTGAGCTGGTTTTCCGTCCCCACGGCCGCCCTCCCCACGGCAGCGCCCGGGGACGTCTGCGAGGTCCCGCTGCAGACTGCTGGCCGCCGCACCCGGAGGTCGCACCTGCCGACCGCGCCTTTGCTCTGGCCACTCCCTGCGGGCCCCCAGCGTGGACACGGCACCCCTGACGTCGGCACCCACGGCTCACGGGTGCCGGGTTACCTGGCAGAGGACCTGCCGGGTCGCGTCACCACGTCCTCCCTGTGTCAAGCACTTGTGCAAAGAAGGTCAGCGCTGCCCTGCCAGCGCCGCTGCCTGCCCTCCCTGCTTTCTCCTCTGCCGTCTGAGAGGCTGGTCATCTCCGGGCTTGCGCTGTCCTCAAGAGGCGCTCAGTCATGCTCACGCTCAGCGCTTCCCAGCTGGCGGCCACACCAGCGTGTAGTCTCCGCTCTGGACGTGGCCCTCCGCTGCCCAGCACCCTGACGCGCCCCCGGGTGCCTGCTCCCCTGGCCTCTCTCCTCAGCGCACCCGCCACCTCGCTGTTGCTGCTGCCGCGGTGGGGCGGTGCCCGCACGCTGACCGTCCACCCCGCAGCTGGCCGCAGTGGCCCGAGTGGAGCCCCAGCCGGGGACAGGCACTTGTGCTGACGCGGCGGCTCTGTTTCTTTCAGACTCTGGATCCCTTCGAGGAACAAAAGTGGGTCTTTCTAAACAGCAGTCTTCTGTAAAAGCAAAATAGCATCTTGTTTCTTCACAACTGTTTCTTTGTTGGACAATTTTCCTTGTGAAGAACACGTCCAGCTGTTGACGCGCTGAATCATGCCACACTTACCTGCAAACTCAAAGCCAGACGAGATGCTGGGGAGGCTGGGAGGCGCCTCTTGGCACTGATGCTTTTCACACCCTCATGCTAGGTCTTCATTTTCTGATCCCTTCTTACATTTGGCCAATACTGACCGTGCAGGGGGCCCCTGAAGGCGGCCACATCTCCGCCCACTCAAGCGGTGTATATGTCATCTGCTGGGGGTGAAACGGGGCCTGAGTGGGAGGCTGTCCCGGATTCCTCGCGCAGGGAAGGCAGCAGATGGAGAGGCAGGTGAGAGGGGGTGTGTGTGCAGGCAGAGCTGGCGAGCCGTCCTGCAGGGAGGCGCAGTCTCCAGCCCGGGCAAGTGGGAGCCGCCCGCGGTTAGAGAAGCCAGGAAGCGGGTTTCCCCCGCAGAGACTGAGAAGGAACCTTGAGCCCAGGGGGCTGACTGTGGCTGTCCGTCCTCTGGAGCTGTAAGGTAGTACATTTGGCTTGTTCTCAGCCTGCAAGCTTGTGGCAACTCGTTAGCAGCAGCAACACAAAACCAGTCTCTCACGGACAGTTCAGATCGAGTATTTGGGGAAAAAATGCCATTCTGCTAAACGAGCACAGGCCAGAAACTTCTCTTCCCTTCTCCATGGATCTGCTAAGTCCCCGTGGAGCGACTTCTCAGGGCGGCCTGCTGGCTGCGGCCTATCTTTCCAGCCTCTGCCGGGCTGCCAGCTTGGAGGGTGGCTTCCTTCCTCCTGGGGCTGAATGCGTGACCAGCAGCTTTTTCTGCTCCGCGAGGATGGAACCCCCCAAGTCTCTCTGCCCCGCCCCGGCCGCCGAGCTAGCAGGTGGAAGGGGAGCGTGTTTTAACAGCCAGACTCTTACACATTCGAAGGTTAAGAAATCTGGGATCCCCATTTCTGCTTTGGATGGCCGACTTTCTCTGTGACCCAGGACAGTGGCTGTCCCTTTCGAGCGCCGGTTTCCGTGATGTGACAAAGGCTCGGCCTCACCTCCTGCCCGCAGGCCCTCCTGAGGCCCCGCTGGGCGCGGACCTGGACCTGCTCGCCCACGGCGCTGCAGGAGCGAGGGAAGCCTCGCGCTCGGGGTGGTGGAGGCCCGAGGCTGCACGTGGGGCTCTGCTAATGGGGAGGCGCCTGCAGTCCACGGGTGGACCGGAATGTCCCTGCAAGTACTGGGATTGCCAGAGGGGGCTCCACTGCAGAGAAATGATAAAAAAAATATTGACCTTGGGGGTGTCTGGAACTAGAAAACAACAACAGGAAGTGGTTGGAGAAAGATTTCCACACATCAAGACACAGAGATAACGTTTCCGGCAGTGGGGACCGGCCCTCCTGTGCTCCAGCACATTCTCAGAGTCGCGGCCCTGGCCCTGACCCGGGCGCGGGGACAGCAGACAGCGTGGCTCCCTGCCCTGCCGCACAGCCCCGGGCGAGGAGTGGCCTGGCCACTGTGCCAGGGCAGGAGCCGCGGCGGCCTCGGGGCGGGGCGGGTGCCGACCAGCCCGCAGCAGCAGGCTCTGAAACGGCCCTTCAGAGAAGATGACCAGCCGCTCAGGGGGCCCCCCGAGACCTTACGAGGGGACAAGGACACAGAGTGGCACTTACGGTGTGAACCCTCATGAAGAAGCAAGTTTGCACATGACAAGAGGAGGTGACGGTGACGTGAGTGGTGGGAGAGCAAGGCCAGAGAACAGCCTCAGGCAGACTCCGAGTGTCCCTGTGCCTCGTCCCACGACCGAGGTCCCGCACGCCCCGCCGCACGCCCCACTCCGAGAGACCAGGCCGGGGACTCTGTGCCCCGACTGAGTCGTCCGTGAGATTTCAGGGGTGACGGGGCGAGACTCCAGGGGAGATCTGGGCCCATCCTTCCCGGGGCTCACAGAAACGGCATCGTCAGGGGGATCTCCTGGGGTGCCCACATTCTGTGAGTGCTTGGAGGGAGGACAGGGCGGGTTTCTTCGTGACTAGGGCCAAATACATAGGAAAGGGGTTTTTGCAACTATCTTGAAAGTAGGTAAGACACTGTAAGCCACGGGGCAGTGTGAGCAGAAGCAGCAGGAAGGGGCCGAGGAGCTTGTCAGTGGCCGCGGGTGGGAGGGAGACACCCCTGAGTCACTGGCTGCCAGATCTGAGAATGACACCGACATCAAACCCAGGAGTGCCACGAAATGCTGTGTCCGTTTTCTCACACACGATTCTCACTGAAAAGGTCTGCCTTTTGTTTTGGGAAAGACTGATAACATTCAAAAGTAACCAATATAGAAGAAATCACTAGAAACGACAGGGAGCTAGCTTCCCCTCGGCGTCTGCCAGCCGCTGCGCCTCCCAGCAGCGGCACAGGAGGCCGAACGCCTCACACCCTCAGGCATGATCCCTAAATGGCTCCAATCACGTAATAATCACAGACGGGGTAATAAACGGCTTAAAATCAAATGACTCCTGTCCTATAGGCACGCTGAAGACGGAGGAGCGCCAGGATGCGGCGCCGGGGGATGGGAGGCCCGTGCGAAGGCGGCTAATGGCCGCGGAAGCCACAGCCCCCCGGGCAGCCCACAGAGCGGCCTCTTGCTCCTGCGGCCAAAGCCCGCGGCTGGGGCTGGTGGGCGGCAGAGCTGAGGGGGGCGTGACCCCATCGTGGCCATCGGGCTCTGACTGGGCGGCCCGGCCCTGACAGGGGATGGAGCTCTGGGCCGTGCACTGGAACTCTGACCTCCGGCTGCGCTGGAGGGGCAGTGTGGGCAAGAGGCCACTGCTTCCCGACCAGGGCCGCGCTTCCCTCGCCCCAGACAGAGGAGCCCCTGCCCAGGACCGGCAGGCCGGGCCCAGCTGCACCAGGAGCTGCTCCAGGAGGAGCCGCCCTCCCTCTGGGGGAGCAGGGCCTGCAGGGAGGG